GGACTCTTCCACATTAGTTTGATATGTCAGAAATATTAACAAGTGCCATGTGTTCTTCATGTTCTCATACTGCACTGACTCTAATTGAAGGAGACGATCATTAACACTTGATATTATTTTAGACTGTATGTGGGTTCTATGTATGGCACAGCTTTAGCATTATGATATGGCATAAGACAAAAATACCATGCAACCTCTGCACCACCAGGACTCAGCTTTATAATCCTGTGGGGTTTAATTAATTTTCTATTCACTGACTTAATTCCTTCTAAAAGCATGTCTTTTGCTATAGGGAACGATTTATTTTGCTGTCTGTGCTGAGGGTAGACAAAGCTCGGCATGCAGAGGCAGTTAGTACAAGACTAACCTGTTGGTGTATTGTTTTGGAGATGCCAAACATTACCTCTGTTCCATTTTGCTGGCTTTCTAAACCACTGGCCTCGTTGATTTGGATAATGTTTTAAATTTTTTATTTAGCTGCTGGGTCTTCTTCAGATATGCTTTCATGATCTCAAAATCTTGAATTAACAAAAGCACAAAACTGAGAAAACAATGACAAAGAAGTGTGTGTTTTTGAATTCCTGTTTATTTGAATTATTTGTAGGCTATTCAGAAATGGGCAACAGAAATGGCAGCATCAGTGAAGTGCTGTGCTGTTATATATATATAAATATATATATATATATATATATATGTGTGTGTGTGTGTGTGTGTGTGTGTGTGTGTCCCTCCATTAAATATGAAGCTTCTGTAGCTTATCTTAGCACAAAGACTGGAAGCGGAGGGAAACAGCTGGCCTTGCTCTGTCGAAAAAAACAAATCCACCACCACCTCACTAATAAGCCTTCAAGTTATATCATGTTTTGTAGAGAGTGATATCGACCTTCTCATCTTGGAAAGAAAATCTTTTAATCTTGGTTCAATTTCAACCTAAAACTGGATACTCTATAATTTAACCATATGATTTAACTAAAATTGATCATCAAATCATCAGTCAATCTGTTGATGATTTTTTCGATTACATGTTTAGTCTATAAATATCATAAAATCTTGAAACTGTCCGTCGTGACTTCTTCACTTCGCTTTCTATTTGATTGTTTGCGATCTACAATCCAAAAACTCGATATTTAATCTACACAGAGGGAAAAGCAACAAATCATTTCACAACCTGGAGCCGGTGAATGTTCGGGCTTTTTGCTTGAGTGATGACTTTATAAGCAGTTTAACACACACCGTACAGGTCACCTTACTCAGAGATAACATGCTGCGTGACTGTCTTGAGATGCTCACACGTGTGCCAGTATTTCACTAGGTATGTAAGATAAAGTGTGTTATAACAAGATCATAGAGTGAGTCATCTCGATTTATCTCCTACAGCAGATTCCAAGTCTTGAAAATGAGAACGTGCCTGACAGCATCACGTGCTTTGTGTGATCTAAAAAAAAAGAGGGCCTTGATCACCTGATGAGCAGGTATGTATATATTGATTATAGATTCTGTGTGATTTCTACATATGAACCCGAGTACTTAAGTTTTCTTGATTTAACATCATGTGAATCGAGCAAACCCCCATTTAAAAAAAAGGCGGGGTTGATTGTTGCATGATCACATTCATAATCTATGTGTAAATGTGCTGCTGCCTTGTTTTGTGTCAAGAATCACTTTTTCACGCCTGTGCTTGAATGCAGAGTAAAATGCTGAAATAACATATGATCGATGTCGGTGAGGCTGGACAAAAGCTGTTGCATCACTTTATCAATCTTTTTTTTTTTATGTGCATGTAATCGATGGATGTGAGAACAGAGTGAAAACGCACTACTTCACGCAGCTGAGAGTTTGAGGGGGCTGTAATACGCCACTGTAACAATGAGTTGAAAGAAATGATGAATAAGAGCGGAGAGCCCGGTGCGTTCACAGGCACGTTGTGCTGGGGCACAGCATCACGGACGGACAAACTGCTGTGTGCAAGTTGAACTGCACGTCAGTCTGTCAGTCTGTCACAAAGCGTCGCTCAGGACGGAGCATCTCCGACAGCAGCTCTCTCCTCTCCAAAGGACCATTTATCTGTAAGTGACGGCTCACGCTTTGTATTCTCTAGGTATTCAGTAGTTTTCAGCCTAATAGAACTGGTTGAAGGGGGTTTTTACCCAAACGCATTATATTACGGGTGAAGGAACATTCTGTAAGTAAGAAAAATAAACTTCATTAGCAACATTTGTTTATTATATTTCTGTGAAAGCACATTTTAGCCAGTGAAAAAAAATCTTGTTTTTTTTTTTTTTTTGCTAAAATGATGATTGTGGTAATTTTGAAAACTTTATTTAAGGAAATTAATTAGAAAAAAAAAACGAACTCGCGCTTAGAGCATATTTTGTACATTATTCAATGAATGCAATGCCTATAGTATCTGTAATGCAACTGTTGCTGAAGTGGTGATAGTGATAGTTCGCTATAGCAGCTTATATTGTATATCCTGTCCAGCTGCTTATGGCTATAGATGCTGCTGCCAGGGTGTTCTGGATCTGCTCATGTTTTATTTTTGATTTATAATGACACAGTTCAGGCATTATATTAACTGCATAATACTTTACACACTGGTCTGTTATTGAATGTATGCCCATGGTAAACATTATAAGCATATAATAGAATAGAATAGAATAGAATAGAATAGAATAGAATAGAATAGAATAGAATAGAGAGACTGATACCTTCTCTAACAGGTGTAAAAGACACAAATAAATAGTCAATTTGAGGAGCCTTGTGCTCTTTACAGCACTATTTCACTTAGCCCAGCATGGAGCCGTAACAAGCCTGAGAGGACATAGAGTATGTGTTCTGCATTGCACAGACTCACAGCAGGTTTAAAGGCAAATAGACCAACAACTGTCAATCACATTCTAGCTGCTGTTTCAAAAAGCCCAGGTTTATAGGCTCACACTTGAAAATCAGAGTCTGGCTGCTTGTTGAGCCCTGATTACTCAACAGAGATTCAATCGATGTTGTTCACTTGTGATTTTAATTGTGGGTTGTTTGGAGAACCCTGAACAGTTGAGGATAAACCCGATGTGGAGTGGACAGTAGCAGGTCCTGGACTGAGATTTGGGATATCCTACATTTGAAGTTTTAGGTGTGAAATGCCCGCTAAGAGTGTAAAAGAGGTTGGAAACACCACTGGCTTTTGATAATGACATATTGATATTTACCATTTGATGACATATCGATAGTGACTCTACTACACTACTTTGTAATAAGTAGTAGTACTTTTAGAATAAGTGGCATCACGCTTCCTGCCATCATGTTCATCAGAGTGGGGAAAGCTCCACAAGGGGCAGTTCCTGGAGAGTTAAGAAAATAAACCTGATATGATCTCATTCCTTGAGCTGCCGCTGGCGGTGACTGTCAAACTTCACCTGCCAGGAGAGAAGAATCAAATCAGTGTTTTGGCAGTGTGTTGATGCACAGTGGCAGAGCCTGAAGTGGGACCCCTACAGATGGTGGCGACATGGGGCCCTCTGAGCCCGCTTTCCTAATAAGATGTCTCAGGATAACCTGTGCAGTGTGACACAGAGCCACTCTAAGCCACAGTGCTAACCTGAAGTGTTTTACACTGTTTCATGGTCAGAGATTATTTTGATTATTATTTTGGAAACAAAAACAAGATCCAGCCTTTAATGAGATTACAATCATATATATAATTTATATGGATTTCAGATTTTTAATGTCCTTATCTCTGTTCTAAGTGTATTTGAAATTTAAACTGCAGTGAGATCACAAGTCACAAAAGTGAGATCACAAGTCACAATTTATTTTAAGCAGCATTTGAGTGTGTAGTGTGTTATGTTGGAAAAGTGACAAAAATAAATATATTCAAAAAGGTTGGTAACCAAACAAAAAAAAATCTTTTTCTCCTCAACTTTAATTAGAAAAGCAAGTCATTAACAATATCAGAGACCATGCTAATATCAAGCATTTGTATTGTTTCAGGAGGACATTATATCAGTGAACTGTTTGATTTCACAAATGAGCAACAGCAAGGTTTTGTTGGATTTGTATATTTAGATTTATGGATATGGCCTTTTTCTAATAACTGATATAATCCCTCTCCACGTGCAACTTCGTCAGACATGACGTGATGAAGGTTCCAGTGCATGTAGATGTAGAGAAGAGACTTTTCAGAGAAGTAAGAGAGGCCATCTGTCCAAAAATGAAAATTTTGAAATTAATAGCATCTGCACAGTCATAGTTTCTTCCTTTTCGCTATCATGTTATCAGTTACATGCATGACAAAAAATGATGGATTTTTGAGCTTGCTGTTTACTACACTGCTGTCCCACAATGCAATGCACAAAGGAAATGAAGGAGCTACTTACTACAAAACATTAAATCAAATTGATGATTATGATTGAGTTACTTAATATATGAAATATATGGGACATTTTTATTTTCTTTGTTCAGTTTAATTCACAGGGCACTTCAGATCACTGAAATGAGCAAAACAGGAAATAAAGTCTAACTCAACAAGCAAAAATCATTTTAAGTTGCACACTCACAAAGATCTTTCATGAATGTCAGTAATCCTGTGACTCAATTCAAAATGATCTCATACGTCTAGAAAATGTCTTATAACAGTTATTTTAGTTTGCCTTGGTTTCAGTGGTTGTGGTAAACCTAATTGAGAGGTTGTTGAAAAATGGATGGTAATTCATATCCTCTGAACTTGATTGATGGTCAATTCAGTAGGGAACCACTTTCTCTTGAAATAAGTCTGTCCCTATGATGAATGTGTAGGAAGTGGTATTTGCAATGCCTTTGTATAGGTCCAATGGCTCACATCCATTTTGATTTTCTTGGAATAGATCAATTGACATTTGAATATAAGCTCCCCAGAACGCCTTTGAACAGCACCCAGCATTTATTACCTATTTTTTTAACCGGTTGAAATTGTTCCATTGTCCTTTTTCCTCTCAGTCTTTCTGATAAGGACGAACAAGTCTGCAGTGATGGACAGGACACAAGACATAATGGCTTTGATCTGTCTGTTATTTCTCAAACTGCCAAAGGTAAAATACAACATTAATATATATTTGATGACTTTTAGGGTAACCCAACTACAGAAATTTCTTCCTACAGATTTTATAAAATGCTTCTGAAGTATATTTTTGTGTGTGTCCTTACAGTTTGATATGGCTAGTGGAAAAATCTTAGAGGAGACTTATCAGAAGTGGGTTCAGTATAAAGAAGACTGTGTCGAAATGATAGAAAACCAGCCGCTCCCTCAAGGTATGGAGAAACTTCATTCAAGTACTATTGAGTCAAATATGGCAAGAGAAGGAAAAGGAAAGGAAAAGAAACTGGGAAAATGTCACATTATACCATTTAAAACTGCATCAAAAATGATCATCTGTGGCTTTGTTTTTTGTGAGGAACAGATATCTTTTCAGGTTCTTATTCTTCCTTTCCAGTGGGCCTGTTCTGTAACAGGACTTTTGACAGATACGCCTGCTGGCCAGATACTCCCGCCGGCTCTATGGTCAACATCTCGTGTCCTTTCTACCTGCCCTGGTATGACAAAGGTAAATCACACTTTTAGTGACTTTGATAGAACAAACAAACTGGAATATAAATATGTTGTTCATGTCAATTTGTACTCTTTCTATTGGAGTATGGTTTTGGCAGCTGTCAGGGAAGGTCCGTCCATCTACTGACACTTTAATGCCTCTCTTATATGTGCCTGTCCAATAAAACGATGCAGCCCGGGACAGTTGGCTTAGCTTAGCTTAAAGACTGGAAACAGCGAGCTGCTAGCCGCACTTTGTCAGAAGGTATTAAATCCATCTATTAGCACTTCAGTATATAAATGAAATTTGAAATAATAGAAACATTTAAGAAACGGGATTATTTTGTATTTCTGTGTGTATGTGTTCTTTGAGTGCGTCTGAACATGCCTGTATCTTTCAGTTTCTTTTCCCAAGGTTCTGTAATGATAACCTGTGCAGGCTATTTACTTGGTCTCTGCCCACCGCATGCTGTGATTGGCTTCAAGCCCCTGTAACCCTAATTGGGAATGAGCTGGTAATGACTGAAAAAGTGACTGTTTCTCCTCCAGTGTCCCACGGAGTTGTGCGTCGGCGGTGCGGCTCTGATGGCCTCTGGGAGGGCGAGAACAGCGGGCAGGTGTGGAGGGATATGACACAGTGTGAGGAAGAAAAAGAGGTGACATCTCAAGAGGTACGGCAACCAAAATGTCATCCAGCTCGGGGGTTTATTTGTTGCAGCTGTGACTGTTCCTTTTGTGTAGCGTTCACTGCACTGCTGAAACTGGGGTCGTTTCTTGTCAGACACAGATCATCACATAAACATCTAATGGAAAAGAACAAACTCTGAAGTAACTGATATGTACTTAGCCTATATGAGTTTTTAATGCTACCAAACAGTGTTTTTCAACTGTGAAAGAGGTGCAGTTAATACTTTAATTTGCAAGTTTTGAAAGATGCACAAGTCAACTATCAGAACTAACCTTTAATCCCCAAACTGCAGGTGTAAAAAAGAAAAAGCTTAGAGTCATTAATAGTTGAACTTGACCATTAGTGATATGATGGAGACATATGGTGAATAGGGAGTTGACACATACTGTTAACTGGCATTCAAGCAAACATGACTCACCTTTAGTTATTTTCATTAATATTTGATGAATTAATACAGATGCTAAAAGGATAAATTACAAGTTTACATGAAATACATAATGAATATATAATTTCAACAATAAAATATATGTCTCGTAAAACTAAAAGCCAATTTGAAAGGAAATGTCTGTAAAGCAGGTATGAATAATTATTTTTATATTAACAATAGATTACATGAGTACATGGATGTGAATTATTACCCAGTTATTTAGCGTCTTTCAGCTCATTGTTTTAGTTTTATGGACTGCGACATTACTGCAGGCAGCTGCTTTGCGCAAGAGGTTAGGAGCAGACGTCATAGAAGTGAAGTCATTTATGGGATCTGACTTCCAAACAATGACCGGTGTGGATTTGTCTTTACAGTTGTGGTTCAAACAACTGATGGTGAGCTTCAGGATGTTGTACACTGTCGGCTATTCCTTGTCCCTCTTCACGCTCATAACGGCTTTTATCATTCTCCTGAGCTTTAGGTAAGCTGTCTAACATATGTGCAGTGATTTTTGTTGTCATTTTAATGCAACAAACATTCAGTATCTCATGGCAGCTGGGAAAGATGATCATTAGTATCACTCATGAGTCTGCCTGACTCATTCCATCATCTTTGACAGATGCAGAGAGAAATGCTTTCAAACTAAAACAGATGGTTAGATAACATGCTGCAAGTTTAATTCTGAAGACAAATACCAGACTCCGGAACTGTAATGATCCTCAGCATTCATAACAACCAAGCACCAATGCAGGTTCAGAAGAGTGTGGAATCAATCAGATTCAATGTCAATTTTGCAGTTGTTTAGGACTAATTTTACTACTACAGGCATGCATAGTGATGAAACAGAAAAGTGACATGATTAAAGCAAAAAAAAAATTTAAATGAAAGACAAAATACAGTAGGTGCAAATTGTGTTTGTAGGTGCTTTTGCAGCTCAGATGAAAGCAGCTCATGAAACATTATAAGAAAAGCAGCCAAATCATATAGAAATACCCTGATACACAAAATACTAACTTGTTTTTTTTATGTGCCCTGACAGGAAACTACATTGCACCAGGAACTTCATTCATGCGAACCTTTTCCTCTCGTTCATCCTGCGAGCTGTATCTGTCATCGTTAAGGACACCATGCTAGAGCGCCACTGGGGACGAGAAATCATGAAACAGACCGACGTGAGTGAAATGCTCAGTCACCAGGTGGGTCCTATTTTAAATTTGTTTTTGCACTTAATAGTTTATCGTTGTTACTTATTGTAGGTTACCAAGAAAGATTCTTAGGGGAAATATCACACGTGACGCTAACACATTCAGATACTTTCATGACATAAACTTAAACATATGTGGCTTTTCACATCCATTTCTTCTAGGCTGCCTTTGGCTGCCGGATAGCACAGGTGATGATGCAATACTGTGTCCTGGCCAATCACTATTGGTTCTTTGGAGAGGCAATTTATCTGTACTCTGTGCTCATAGCCTCAGTGTTCATCGACAACAACAAGCACTTGCCTTACATCTGTCTGGGCTGGGGTAAGTTTCATCTCCAAATGAACAAACACCTTAGGAGTTTTTCTTGGGCTTGCTGCCTTGAGTTGCTGCAGGTGATCTCCCTGTGCCATCCTCTACAATCTAAGAGCACTTCACCACAGTGATACCAAAACAGTTCACACTGAAAAAGCTGGGATGTTGCAACAGCCGAAACCTCTTTACTGCCGTACCTCTGCCCCTCTCTTGTGCACCTGTTTATAACTGCAAATTAAATCAGGTTGACAACAAAGCATTTCCTGTAACAGCAGTGGTGCTTTTATAGATGGATGCCATGGAAACATTTGCACAGTTATTTATATAGTTTGTTATTTAGTTGTGAAGCTTGTTTCTGGCAGTACCCGCGGCACTGAATCTTGCAATCCTTATTGTCATTGTCTTAGGAACACCACTTTTATTTGTGGTTCCTTGGGTAGTAATGAAGCTGTTGAAAGAAAACAAAGAGTAAGTGTATGTGCATGTGTGTGTATGTAGTATCTCCATGTGCATAATCATTTCATGTGTACACCCCTTTTCCCTGCTGATCCACATCAGACAATGGAGAGTTACTAACATCTTCTTCTCTTTCCAGGTGTTGGGCTGTCAATGAGAACATGAACTACTGGTGGATCATTCGTTTCCCAATTCTGTTTGCTTCACTAGTAAGGATGGCGTGTGCAAATAATCAAATCAGTGTTTAGTTGCATCCCTTGTATGTGTCATCATCTGGCATTAGGACTCCTCTGCAAAATGTGTCATAATATATATATTTTCTGCACAATATATATTATATATGGTATATTCTTTTTTTTCCAGCACAGGATACAAAAACTGATATTTGGATTTTCTGATCAACAGATCAACTTTCTGATTTTCATGAAGATCCTGAAGGTCATTCTTTCCAAATTACGAGCCAGCAACCAGAGTGGATACCCAGATTACAAACTTCGGCAAGTTGTCTCAGCATATTTTTAATGATGATAAATTAGATGACAAATTTATTCGACTCTACTCTCTATTTTTGTTAAGTCAAGGCCGTGACTCTGGCTGTCACAGAAAAGCAGTGATGAACTTTGGCAGGAGGAGGAACAAAAACGGAAGCCGAAAAATGAAAATTGACACAAGAATAACAATATGTATGATGTTGTGTCAAATTGCCTGCTGTTTGATTTGTCCTGTTAGGCTTGCAAAGGCAACCCTGACCCTCATTCCTCTGTTTGGGATTCATGAGGTCATATTCATCTTTGCTACAGACGAGCAGACAACAGGCGTTCTGCGCTTCATTAAAGTTTTCTTCACCCTTTTTCTCAATTCATTTCAGGTAGGTTCAGTTGAGTCAGAGAATGACTGCTTCCTGTTACTGACATGTCTGACGCTGTAAAACAACGTAACTGTTGAGACAATATCTAATGTGTTTCACGTATAGCAAATCTAGTACATGCTGCTGAAACTAAACAGGACTTTTCATAAAACCTGGCCTCTCTGCAGGGCTTTCTGGTGGCTGTGCTCTACTGCTATGCTAATAAAGAGGTTTGTTGTTTCATGTCATATTCTCATGTCATGTTTTTTTTAACCCAAAATAGAAGATACTGATTAGCTACATATACCAGTTACAGTGACTGAGAGACCACGCGCAGTATATGAATCTACATGGTTGTAAAAGTGTAAAGTTGGGCTTAAATGATCCATATTCACTTTCCTATGAAACCTATTGATGGTCATCAGTTGGGAACTTGCAGATGATCAGATCATCTAAGGATACATTAGAATAAAAAGACAGAAAAAAATTCTTTAGTCATTCATTTCTGTCCAGGGATCTGAGTTTCTGAATCTAAATTTTCTATTGCTGATCTGATCTATATCACGGTGAATGATTTTTCAGTTTTCATTCAATTTTCAAGCATGAGACTGTAAAATGACGGAAAAAGGCTTTACAAAAACTGTGACCCATCTCCACTCTGGATGCAGGTGAGGACTGAGCTGAGGAGGAAGTTACGCAGCTGGAGGATGGAGGCGGAGATTATATGCTGTGGACAGTGACTAGCCGTGCTTGACTCTCGAGTGGACACTTTTTCCATCGCCACAGTGCCGGAGCGCAACAGATCCTCTGCCACAACGATGAGGGCCATGCCTGACGGTTCACCCACTCCTGACAGTTCACTGATTTTCAGACGTCAAGTTCAGCCAACCTCCCCACAACCTGATGCTTCTTTGCTGCACTGTCCATCAGTGGTAAACAGAGATAATACCCTGCAGCGTGGGGATCAGGATGAGACTGGACAGTCGTCTGTGGCAATGCGTATGTCCTTCCTCATTCATCTTCAAGACCCTGTGGAGTTGCTCCCACATGTTGTAAATATAGATTCAGACTGAATCGGTACATTGTTGCATTCACTGCACTTTTTTTAAGATTACATGTGGTTCATTGTGAATATGTAAAATTGTGAATAAGTAATTGTTATTGTGTAAGCTTTAAAATTGTTAATATGTGAATAAGTGATTGTGATCATTTAGGATTTAAGACATCTGTAAAAATTAAAAGGATATTTGTTTATATTAACTCTTTTAATGTGTGATGGCAGCAGTGCTTATGTACTACAGAGTGGGTCAGATAGTGTATGGGGTAATCACTTTACCACTTGGTATGACAGATGGGTAAAGCGGGGGCTAGTAAAGAAAACAATATATCAACAGATGTCTCAACCGAAAGTCTGAGATAGATTATAAATCTGTAGAGTTAATCAGCAGCAAAACTATATGCAATGTCTTCTTTGTAACATACATTGGGCGGTGATTTATAGATTTTTTTCTCTCACATTCCAAAATGCGAAAGTTTCTCCTATTTCGATTCTGCCCCGTAAACTTCATTACCCAGAATTCCAGGGGACGAAATGCGTAGACGTCAAGAGCGTCGTGCTGTCGTTGGCAACGGCGGACGCTGAAGCGGGAAGGATACAACAACGACAGTAAGCACTTGATGTCAAATCAAGACTGTTGTTTACTTGGTTCCGAAGAGAACTGAAGAAAGTCCTTGCATCTCATCATAATGTGAACCTTTTTTTTTAATAGTTTTAATCACCGTGGAAAGGAGAGGGAGCGTTTCGGTCATTTACCGGTCTGTTTGCTAGCTAACATCTGTGAATTTATACGACCTGCCTACCTACCTAAGTTGCAGCAAGACTTCAAGAGACATCAACAGGTAGATTGCACATTTGAGACCTTCACCACCAATGGCCTCCAAAGGTAAAGTGAACTTTAAAGTTTTTAATCAAAGTTGCTAGTTAGTTTGCATACATAAAATAGACCGTGGCAGAGGAGCCGTAACTTAAACAGCACTTAATGCTGTTCTAATGAACTTATTGTTGTGAAGTCTAGCTCAGTGTTACTGAATCTTGTTTTGACTTCGCAGGTTGGCAGCATCCTTATGTCAACATATTCAAACATGTCAGAGTTGAAGACTGGAAGAGGTCTGCAAAAGAGGGGGATGTGTCAACATACACGGTAACTTAGTGCTACACACTTTAATGATGTTTAAAGATATACTTCAACCCCAAACTATCTTTTAAATACTTTTATCTGGACTCTTCGTGAAACTCCCCCAGGACAAGACACTGAAGTGCTCAGTGTTCCGGATCAGGGGTCCTGTTCCTGCCAACAGCTACATCCTGGTACCCAAAAACAGCAACCAGTCTCTGGGGTTGATAGGCCGCTACTTCTACCTTCTCTTCAGGCCCACTCCTGGCAAATACTTTGTGGTCCACCTGGATGTTGCTGCAGAGGTATTGCACCTGATTGTTTTAGATGATTCTGTGCATGTGTATATGTTATCCAGATTATCTATGCTATCTAAATTGTCTATCTTTTAATAAGTCTCTTTATTCTTATATTGCCAGTCATGTGACTGGGGTTTATTCTGAACAAGACTAATCCACAGCCACAGCTCTGCTTTATTAGCTGTCTCCCTAATTCTTTGACATTTCAAATTGTTGTTATTTCAATCTAATTGAAATCTGAAGTGGGAGCAAGTTCTCTACACATTATTACATTATACTCCATCATATTATGTGAAAAGATATTCAGCTAACTCTCTTTCTGGGACTCTTTGTTCGAATTTCTCTTGATAAATCCAATGATTTTTGCTCAGAATCACTTAGTACTTTAAAGCCTGTCACACTTTATCATGTGATAAGCTCAGACAGTGAGAGATATGTACCATAGATTATGGTATTTTACAACTGGACAAAAGAAAGTCCCAGCAATTTGGTTAGTTCTGAAATATTCAACCTTTGTCTACTCTCAGGTACAGTTATGCAGTGTAAGTCAAGATCTCAATGATTGAAATTGATAAGAAACGGAAGACATTTTCTTTTCCCCCTCTCTCTGTGCTGTAATGTGTAGGAGGGCCAGGTAGTTCGTATCTCCTTTTCCAACATGTTCAAAGAGTTCAAGTCCACAGCCACCTGGCTTCAGTTTCCTTTCCTGTGTGGATCTGCAAAGGATTCAGTCTACGAAAGCACGGCCAAATCCGCAAGACACGGTATAATACATGTACACACATAAAACCATACTGACTGACACATGAGTAATTGTTCGTATGCATTTTTTATATTAATCATTCTACTGAGAGTCTACTGTACTTTTGTATATAATGTAAATAATCTTTGCATGTCTTTCTAAAGGCTGTATAAATGCTCATGTGCCCCAGGTTTGGTGGGTCCAGCCCCTACTTCAGTGCGGTGGACCTGTCTGATGCTGGATCTGCAGTACACACTCTCTGTCTACCTCAACCGCAGCTACACACACCTCAAGAGCATCAAGCTCTGTGCCAACATGGTAGTGAAAAACATGTTCACCAGTGACCTGCTACTAGATCCAGGTGAGACTCAGTTGAGTGAGTTTTATTTCCTCCCTAAACTATCATTGTCTTTTTTGTTTTTGATAATGTTATAGATATATATTATACTATATATGCACACTTTTTGTCTATATGTGGATGTCACTGTTGGTTTTCCACTAGTTTGAGGTAATGAAATGCAAAGGTGTATCAATGCTCTTCCTTAAAGGACATTTGAATATAGAGAAAAATGAAACCAGTGTTTTTCAGTGTCACAGACTAGAGAAATGTGGTTTCATCATTGGAGCTTTAAGAGTCCTGTCAATCTTAAATACTTGCTTTTTCAAACCACTGAATTCAAGGGCCAGACATCTGCCATTGTAAAATACATTGAACATTGAGAACATTTTGAAAGCAGTGAAATGCTATTGTTGGAAAAAAATGCTTTCTTCACATAATTTTCATTCAATGTCAGATTCATTCAGAGTGCATCATCAAATTTCTGAATAAAGTAAAGTGCCCACTTTGTGCATTTGTGACAAATGTACTTTTTTCATCTGCTAGGAGTTTCCTTCAGTGAAGCCAAGCTGATGGGTCTGCCGTCTTCTCAGGGAACACGTCCCATGCCCAGAGACATGTCATTCCCTGCACCCAAGGGGGGCTCCTGGCATGACCTCTATGATTATATCAAGTACGGTTACCGCACCAGAGAACAGAAAGTGCATAATGCCAAAATCCACACTGAAAAACCTTTCTGCACAGTTAGGATCAGCCTCTTATCTTAGCTGTCTGTTTTACACCAACATCATCAACTATCATACAGGAGGAATCCATGTGGAAAATCATTCAGGAAAATGTAATAAATGACATCTGGCAATGTGAGTGAATCAGAACTGTAAAATATAACATCCAGTGCTCAGGTTGATCTGGATATGTAGCTGTAGAAGAGGATCTTAACAGTGGATTTTTGCTTTTAATATTACAGACGCTCAACTGGCAGTTACATGACTATTTATTTGACAATTTTATATATGACTTATTTGCTCAAAACACCAGTTGTAAAAAAAATGAACTCAACAGTCTACGTTATTATTGATTTAAGAAAATTACAATTACCTGATCTTTCATAATGTAGGTTAGTGTCATGATGTTTCTTATCTTGTCCTACAGGTTTCCCTCAGAAGGAACGAAGTTACCCTTTGACTCCATTCAGAAAGGCAATCCAAGGCCCGAGGCCAGTAAGTCATGAAATATCACACCGCTCATCATTTTCATCTCATCATATGTTATTTAAAGGTTTTTACTGCCCTTGTGTGATATGCTTTTTATGTCCGACTAGTACTTTTTTTTTTTTTTGATTTTCCTTAAAACTTTGTCAAGAAATGTAAAACGTCTGTTGTTCCCACATGCTTGTACAACTAATTCTAATTAATCTTTACTCTGCACACCAGAAAAAAATTATGCTTATATCAGTCCTTTCATTCTCATCTTAATGTTGAATTATTTTTTATTATTCATTCATCAAAATAAATTAGAGCCAGTGGAGTGTTTAAAAAAAACACTACTACAAGACATGTTATTTATACATTTCTAATACATTGTCTTTTAGCCTATGCACTTCTAGCTATTCCTGATTAGCTAGAAGTTCCTGACTTTCATTTCTCTGTTTTTAACAGGCTGTTTCTCCAGCCAACGAAGCCCTATTAGAGAGGAGTCTCGTTGTGTCAGCCTCAGCAAACCAATTCAGGACCGTGTGTCCCTCATCCAGCAGATCACTGCCCCAAAACCAGTAATGCTGATAACCTTTAGTACCTTTTTATTAAGCCCATGCAAATTCAACCAGCTTGATTTTTTTCATTAAATTCAACAGACAGTTGAGCTTGAGCCTTTTAAGTGAAAATATAGTGTTCTAGGAAGCTACTATTTTTAATTTTCAGTTTTCTGCTGTTTTCTCAGCTGCCGAGGAATCAACTCCCTGTGGTGACCAACATACCCAAGCTGGGTTTAGTCTCCTCTCACCAGAAGGATGGCTGGCTCTGCCATGATGGTGATCAGCAGCAGCAGGAGTCAGCATGCTTCAGTCCACACCAGCTCGCATCCAGGCCAACCTATGATACTGATGGCAGTGGAGTTCATGTGTTTGTGCATCCTGAAGATGCCTTCAGCAAACTTGGGGAGGAAAGTGAAGAAGAGGTGAAGCTTCATA